AGATAGATAGATAGATAGATAGATAGATAGATAGATAGATAGATAGAGAAATAAATAAATAAATAAGTAAATAAATAAATAAATGATCAACGTTTTCTGCTAGGAAAAAGATTTAGAAATGCCATAATCCGACAGTTCATCATCTGAACTTCCCTAAAATGCAGTCACGTTGTTGTTATGTTCTCTGAAAGAAACCAAATAAAAGCTTTTAACATTTCCCTCTGGCGGGCGTTTGCAGTCCCTTGTGGGACGTGGCGTTGTTGACGTGTACTGGAATGAGTGTGAAAGGATGCTCCACCTGAAGCCTTTTAGGGGGGGCACAGCCCACGCAGTTACAATCCAAACACGGCTTTCAAAATCCTTAAACCACCCCAGTTTCATGTAGCTCTCAGTTGTGTATCAGAGTGCTAGCCTTTTGTCCAAATATGGCTCCACGAACTGCTTTTGCTTTGGGCTTCAGCATTCCCACCACTCAGGGCTTAGTGTAGCCATGAAAAAGGCAATATACGTTCAACAGAGGTGGTCTCTGTATTTGTGGGATTAAGGCTGAAACTAAGGAGGACTTCAATCTGCTCCGTAAGAAAACAGAGAGCTTTAACCCATTCAGAGGGGAGGGAAACGGCTGGGTCAGGACTGGGGCAGAATTCAGGCATGGATCGGTTAAATCATGTCTATACAGAAGATGTGTAAGACTAAAAGAAAAGAAGTTATAAGAAATAGATTATGAGCTGAACTTAAACGTTACTGATCAAACGAGGCCTGGGTTTGGCTTTGCTTCCTCTCAGCCCAGCAAATGAGTCATTTGCATGCATGGAAATGGTGCAGGCAGCCTCACAAGAACTATGAGCCCTAATGCAAATGAGTCATTCTGTGAGATTAACAGGAAGAAGAAAATGATATAACCTGTTGTTTGGCTTCTACAATAAAAACAATGGTGCAAATGCCGGCCTGAGCATGCTAGTGGAAAGGAATGTTCCCATATAACTTGAGACTTTTAAATGAAAAATATCTTCCAAACAGGCCCAAAACAATCCATTTGCTGCAGAAATCTGATTTTATTTCTGTGCAAAAGATAAGAACAACATTCTTCCTCTCCAAAATACAGACGCCAGCCAAAGGGACTGCGAGGCTCAAATATTTTGGCTAAGTTTGAGTGACACCACACATAAAGAAAGACAGACGTCTCGCTCTGTAAAAGGAATAAGAACACTCAAAATATAATTAAAGTATTGGGTTACCAGAATGTGTTTACTCAGATGAGTCATGCCTGTTCAGAAAGTGAGGGATTAGGATTCCTGTTGTGTGATATTATGTTTTTCAAGCTCAGAGAAAACGATCCAGATGAAGACAGAGGATCTGTTTCATTCCATTATCTGTGATGTGGCTGATTATTTCTGAGGCTGAGGCCGTCTGCGTGGAGGTCTGGATGCAGGCTCCAGTCACACAGAGGGCTTCCTCATTTACTCTGCTCAGCTCAGGCTTTGGGGCCTTTCATTTTAGCCTAAAACTACAGGTGTGAAACACACCGTTGACCAGGATCTGGAGCAAACATCTGAAAACAGCTAAAGACTTTGGACTGGATCTGAGTTCCACCCAGTCCTGGCTGAGGGCGGTTTTTGGGAGGGGAGACTGGCCATGAGAACTGTCACTCATAATGGGTCCTAGCTAAAAAAGAGGGCTGTAAAACGGGCTAACTGGCAGCACATGGTGAGAGGGAGAGTTTAAAAAGTACTTTCACTCCTCAAACCCAAACTCGCTCTGAGCTTTGTGCT